TATTAGGACTGTAATCTTTTTTAGATTAAAACACATAATGCTTAAAGTTTAGATTAAAAGTGAAATTAGATGAGAATAATGTGTTTATTTTAGTGATCATTTGAAGTTAAATAAACATGACTTGACAATAAAAACATTTAAACCAAAGTTTAAATGTGAGATCAAAGTAAAAGTCTTTAAAAAAAGGTCAGATTTCACATTTTCCCTCCTGATCTTTAAGATGTTCTTTGTGTTCTTGGTTCGGCTCCAACCATCTGGACCTTCAGCTGACTGACTCCATCCTCCACGTTCTGACTCTGCCACRTGTTCACAGCTGGCCGCCCAGCATCTGGAACCCATCCTGCTGTAACCTCAGAATGTTTGAGTACAGCCGAGCAGGAGGCCCTGTGATTGGCTGAACGCTCACACGCCTCTTCTGTCTGTCCTGAAACGCTCTGCTGTCCTTCATGTGTTTGTTTGGCCTGGTTTGAACGGTTCCACAGGTCCGTTTCTTGGAGTTTCTCTACCTTGAAGTGCGGTCATTGAACTTAGTCATGTGTCTCACATTGTTATAAGGAAAGTGTCGAGTTGATTCAACAACACAACACTGGTGATGTAAATACTTGTAAAACGCTTCATTTCACTGATTCGCTTTAATTTTTGATAAACTTTAAAGTGCCTGTGACATCAAATTTTAGTAATGAATACAAAGGCATTTTTTGAAAGACAATATTTAGAACATTTTACAAAACAAATTTCAAGCTGCTGAGATGAACAGTTGTTGAGATATTTGCTTGTGAAGTAACAGGAAGTGATGTCAGAGGGGAATGCCTGCATGTTACTAAAATAGCTAACAACAGACTGTAGAGAAGAACTGGATGCTTTTTTAAAGTATTTTGAGTCACTACAGAGAGATGAAGAAGACTCGGAGTTCAAATAATATTGTTTAAATAAACAAAAAACAGAGTTCCTTTTCTTAGAGTTCCCCTTTGATGTCACTTCCTGTTTCACTTTTGCTGATCCAAAATCAAAAAAACATAACAGTTATGTGACAAAATGGGTAAAATTGTGTGTATTGTGCCAGATTTCTTAAATATAAAGAAGTTTTCTTTGACTTTTTGTATTTGAAGAATATGAATGTCAGTAGCTGTGTTTCCATTACAAATGTTAGCAAAACTTTGTCGATATTCTGTTGATGTCGAAAAACACAGTTTTGCAACTGCAGTGTTTCCATTAAGTAAGAAATGTTATTAAAGTCACGTGAATACGTTTGTTCTCATGATAAGTCATTACAAACATGGCAGCGATGGATGTAAACACATAGCATGTTGCTACCACGACACGGGGTGTAAGAAAATATCGATACACTGAAATATCACGATATTTCATTTCCTGATACTG